GAAAAACTGGGTCCTTATCTTTCATGCTGCACAAAAATCAACTTAAAATAGACCACAGACCTAGGAATTACATCAGAAACTATACAAGTCCTAGAAGAAAATGTGGGGTCAACACTCCAGAATAGGCACAGCATAGAAACAAGCAACCCCTTTCTCAACAGGACTTGAAACTCAGGAAATAATGCCAAGAGTTCATAAAGGGGATGAGTAAAATTAAAAAGTATCTGCACAGCAAAGGAAACAATTAGGAATGTGAAGTGAGAATCTACAGAATGGGAAGTATCTCTTCTAGCTACTCTTCTGACAGAGGATTCATGTCTAGAATATACTAAGAACTAAGTTTTTTAACTTCAAACCAAAAATCAATTATGCAATTACTAAATGGGCAAATGAATTAAACAGACACTTCACAAAAGAAGAAATACCAATGGCCAACAAATACATGAAAAAATGTTCAACATCGTTAGCAATCGGGAATGCAAATCAAAACTACACTGAGATTTCACCTCAATCAGTCAGAATGGCAGTCATCAAGAATACAAATACTAATAAATGCTGGAGAGGATGTGGAAAAAAAGGAGCCCTTTAAGACTGTTGGTAGGATCATAAGTTAGTACAACCACTATGGAAATCAGAATGGAGGTTCCTCAAAAGACTAAGCATGGAACCACCATATGATCAGCTATACCACTCCTCAGTATTTTTCCTGGAGAATCAAAGTCATCTCACTATAGTGATACATGCATACCCCTGTTTATAGCAGCATAATTCACAATAACCAAACTTTGGAAACAGCCTAGGTGTCCATCAACATATGGCTGGATAAAGAAAATGTGGTATATATTGTGTAATGGAGTTTTATCCAGCCATAAAGAAAAATAAAATCATGTCATTTGCAGAAAAAAAATGAAAAGAACTTGTGTACATTATGTTAAGCAAAATAAGGCAAACTCAGAAGGTCAAGAATAGTGTTCTACGGTCAAGTATAACTAATTAGAACAAATTTAAAAATTAAAATTAAAAAAAGAGTCGTATTTTTTTTTTCATATGCAGAAGCTGGAAAGGAAAAGGTGAGCGTGGATCTCATAAAAATTGAAGGGAGATCAGTAGAGGAACAGGACCAAGGGTGGGAGGGAATGAGGGAGTGGGGAAATGCCGGGATGGTAGTGGCCGGATTACATTGTTACATTGAGCGCCTGTATGAATATGTGACATCAAACTCCATAATCATGTCCAACTATAATGCAATGTACCAGGAAAAGAAAGGCGGGGTTCAAAAACAAACAACAACAACAAGCCCTCTCCCCGCCGCTGGTCTTCCCGGCTCCGGTGCGGGTCTGTGTCTCTGGGACGTCGAGGGGCGCCTGACTTCAGAAACTCAGGCTTCTGGAGAAGGCCGAGGAGGGATCTGCGTCCCGCCCGCGAGGTGGCGCGGGCGGCTGAGGCGGGTCTGAGGAAAGGCCGCTGCACCACTGCCCACGGCCGCCGGTGGCCCTTCCCGCAAGGGAGGGATGAGAGAATGGCATGAACTACTACTCCGAATGACACCGAACATTAACATTTGTCAAAACCCGTAGACACTCGAAGTGACAGCCTCACCCCGGAGCAGCCCCAGGCAGCGCCTCCACCCGTGGAACGGAGGTCAGGAAGGTGACACTGTACCCCCTGATCTGCCTTGGGGATCCCTCTTACTTGACGCTCGGGGCTAGCGGGGCTGCGCCCCAGGCAGTGACTTTGTGCTCCGTCTCGCCCTGTCTGGGGACCTACGCGAATCCCCGCTGCCGGGAACTGGGAAAGTGGCCCGCTTGTGCCGCGCGCTCCGGCCGGCCGCTGGGCAGCGGGGGATTAGCTCAAGCGGTAGAGCGCTCGCTTAGCATGCGAGAGGTGGCAGGATCGACGCCTGCATCCTCCAGGCCTTTTCCTCCGCACACCTTTACCTCCCGGGGTAGCGGGGAACGCAACGCGCTCGAGGTAGAGCGTCCAGCATTCATCAGCCTCTAGGTTTGACCCCCAGTACTGAGCCCCTGCGCAGAGCGCACGCACACACCTGTATCCTATAGATGACAGAGTTTCTATAGGATGAAAGAATTGGCATGAATTCCTACTTTGTATGATATCTAACATTTGTCAATACCCATAGAATGTACAGCACAGAGAGAAACTTAATGTTATTTAATGCATTAACATGAGTCCATTTATTATTTAAAATGTAACAAATATTGCACTGGGAAACAGTAAGGGTGATGTGGCTTGTGGGAACTCTATACTTGATTTTTCTTTAAACCTAAAACTGATTTAAAAATAAAATCTATTAAAGTAATAATGATGCATTCTTTTTCTCTTACTATTTTCAAAATACAATGTGTATTTTACACTTCCGGCTCACTTCATTTCATCTGAGCTACATTCCAAGCACTTTAGAGCCACATGCTACCAGGTCGAGTAGGACCACCTTGTGTAGTTCTTTTCTCCTGGTTTTGACTACAGCTACTACCTGAATTCTAGAGGACCTCCTCTCCTGAGTTCCAACCTTCATCCCTGAATCCCTCACTGATAATGTTTACTTGCACACTGCATGAGTATTTCAGGACTAACAGAACATGATAATAACCTAATAATTTATCTTCCCAAACCTCTGTAGTTGAAGAATATCCACTTGGGAGAAAGGCACCAACCAGTATCCATGAAATTCTCCAAGTCAGAAAACATCTGTAGTTTTTTTCCACAACAAAGCCTAATGATTCTACTCATATCTAAATTAGGAACATTAGCTTCTTTATATTTCCCCCCTTCAATAACCCAAGCCAATTTTGTTCCAGGGCCTTTGCATAACTATTGCCTCTTCTTAGAAGGCTCAGGAGTCTTCAACGTACGTACCTGAGTACCTGATTTTTCACATTTTTTAGATTTCTCTCAAGATGATTTCCTTAAATCATATCAAATGTTTCACTTCCATTATATCTGGAATTATTAGCTGTTTTATTTTTAGTGTTGTCTCCTTACACAGAAATGTGAGGCTACTGTCTGTCTTGACCATGGCTGAATTATCCAGCATGGCAGGTGATATAGCTAAAGCCAGCCTGTATTAAATGTGTTGCAGGAATGAGTGAGTTTAATTTGCTCTGTAAATTTGTTCAGCATCTTTGCCAGGCTTGTGATAATGCTCTAACTCTTCCCTTGAGTTTTAAACTTGACTCATCTCTAATCATCTCTTGCACAGGCACCACTGTTGTCTTCCCCCCCCCCTTAATTGTAGATGGACACAATACCTTTATTTTATTTATTTTTATATGGTGCTGAGGATCAAACCCAGTGCCTCACATATGCTAGGCAAGCGCTCTACCACTGAGCCACAACTCCAACCCCACCACTATTGTCTCTTAAAATGCAAATCCAGTATAACATCATTCAGTGGCAACATTGTGCTTACAAGAGAATGCTCAGAGCCCCTCAGCTTCCAAAATGTGATTCACCGGCTGTTCACTCCCTATGGGTTCATTTCTCTGGGACCTTGAACTTGCCTAAATCCTCTTTTCTAAGTTAGCAGTTCAGCTCCTCATCCCATAAAATGAAATTGAAATAGTTGCCTTGAAAATGATCAAAAGGAATGGGGTGAAGAGATACAAACATCGTTTTATATTTGCTGATTATAACAAGGTGCAACCTCAAGTAATTACTGCCAAAGATTTGGCTTCTGGGAGAAAAATATGAAAAAGTCAGGTGTCCAGCTGCCTGACTCAGACTCAGTCAATATTTGCTAAAGCCACAAGTGTGCTCACACATGCCACTAAGAACACAAAGGACAGTGCTGCTTATTCCTTGGTTGCATTATTTAATTTTACCTTTATTTTTCATTTTGAGGCTTAAGGGCTTAGGAATATTTCCTTCCATCATTATTCTGGGTTCCTTTCCCTACACACAGTGCACCCCTGATCCCTACTCCCTGACCACACAGGTCTGTGATCTCCCAGGCAGGAGTTGCTATGTGCCCAGCTCTGGGCCTCTCTCCTGGAAGGACCTGACATTGGGTCTGCCCCAGTTGAGCTGCCCTAGCCAGGGTGTAAAGAATCATTCCAAGTTCCTGCCTGTAGCAGACTTAGGCAGACACCTGATAAGGCCAGATAAGGCTACCAAAGGAAAAAGTGGTCTAAGTCCTGGGAGGAAGAAAGAAAGGTGTTGGGAAGACCCATGGGTAGAGGCTGCCCATTTCTGTCCTTCTTGGTATTTGTAACCCCAAAGAAACACATGTTTCTGGGACTCGGGCTTTCTTCCAGCCATTTTCAAGGAGCTGTCATTCCTGTCCCAAAATGTGAGCATAAAAACACTGGGTCATTTGAACAACTGACACTTTCTCTGAGAATTGTCTTTACTATAGGCAAAAAGCCACTCTAGCATGTGGTATATTTTTCTTCATGACCACAGAGGACCAGTTTATTTCACTGTCAATGCATTCCAAACTTTGTACCACACCTACAGAGAGCAGTTTGGCAAATCTATTGAAGTTACACATATCCTTTGACGCAGCCACTCCACTTCTAGGAATTCATCTTGTAGAAACCCTTAAACATGTGCCAGAAAATGTACATATGAAATTACTAATTGCAGCACTCCTTACATCAAGAGACTGGAAACCCACAAATGATGTGAAGTATGGTGAAACAGAAATTCAAAACCCGTTGATAAAAACAAGTATTTACCCTGTATAAAAAGCTGTCAATTGCAAAAATTACATTTAGGTAATTACATTTAGATAATTACATTTAGATAATTCCTTGTACAAACTTTAAGTAGCTTTGGAAACACACACAAGAATTTCAGAACACTGCTCGCATTTTGGTTTAGGTATCAACTGCCTGGGAACACTTGGGTCACCTTTTGGAAAAACTTGGAAATATCAAACTGTGAATTTGTTATCTATCCAAAAATACACTAAAATTTTAAATAAAGTAATTATCCTACACACTATGCTATTTTTTCAAAAGAAAACCAAAAAGAAAAAGTGAATTCATTGTATTCTTTATTCCCAACCTCAACCAGTCTCTGGACTCCCCACAGCAGTCTTCATCTATAAGGACAATTTGTATGTCCAGTCCAGGAATTGAGTATGTTACAGTCCTAAAACCTTGATAAAAGAGATTTTCAAATTATTTTCCAATCCTGGTGGCACTTTTCACTTTTATCCACCAGATGCTGAGGGCAGGGATAAGAGTTGGCTCAAAGTGAATGATTAATTTTTTTGGTCAATTTATTAATTTATATGACTAAAGACCAGGATCAATATTAAAAAACGGGACATACCAGACAGAGATCATGCACCATTTCTCAGTAGGTGCCCCAAGCCTTCCATAACCATGAGGCTCTTTTGAGTACAGGATTAAAAATGAATCCATGCAACTTGTTTGGGAATATTTTGGAGAACTAGTGACCCTACATCAAAAAAAGCTGGAAATCCAGAAAACAGTCCATTCTTGGAACGAAAATAAACGATTCCTAGAATCTGACCAGGAGACAGCAGTCATTGCTGTCTTATTGCAGTGGGTGGCGCTTCCGTTTCCAAATCTAAAGGTTCTGAATTTGAATCTCAAAGGTCAGCTTTTCACCGTGCAGATAGTTATCTTTGAAAACATTACACCAGCCACCTTCTCCACCTACAACTGGTACTGGTGGCACCTGCGCCTGCTGGGGTGCAGCCCCGTGTGCAGCAAAGCACGAAATGTCCAGGCCCAAAACATATAGGTGCCAACACCTCCTCCCTTTCATGGGCGAACCGCTGGAACCTGGGTGGCCACCTCGGAGTCATACACCGGGATGCAGATGCAGAAATCACAGACTTTTTGTTGTTAATCTTCCTGTTTTTGATTTTATCACACACAGAAGAGGGAACATCTGTGTAAATCGGTTTTTTTCTGCTTTCCCCCAGTTTCCACGCTGACACTGACACGGCTGGCCCCTTCTAGAGGAGTCCCACAGACTACGCAGGAGGCCCGGGGAGGGAGCAGGAGATGCAGGTCTGTGCAGGGCTGATGGTCTGGGTCTCAGGGATGCGCTGGCTGCGTGCTACTGGAGAGCTCTAATGACAAGATCTCTGCTCCTTCAGTGTCTATGAGGATTGACCTGACAAACAAGGGCGGCCAATTGCGTTCCGTAGAAGCCAGAGCGTGGACTTCGGACTTGGGCAGACCCGAGGTGCAGAGTGGCTTCACCGCAAAGCACCAGTTAGCCAAAGGAGGGTCTGACCCGTGGACCCTGTAGAAAACAAGTCTACGCAGCAGAGGGACAGAGTGCAGCGCTGGAATGTCTGCCCTATCTCAACTGCAAAGCCAGGCCTGAGCAAAAGCCTCAGGACCTTCAAAATCATAAAAGGAAACGAGGAGGCCAACGCTATTTTCATAACATCAAGATCATTTACTATGAAAAAGGCTGATGGGTGACAGTCCTGGGCTTCGTGTGGGTCACGGCAGCCACACTCTGTGATGCCAGTGGTCACCAGGCCCACAACCGGGACAGCTGCTGGAGACTGGAGAACATGTTCCTTTTATTAAGTCTCCACCTTGAAGCACTCATCTTTCCAGTATTCAGTGGAAAGATGATAAAGCACCTCTTCTAGGTACCTAAATAAGACACTTGTCTTGGTGGCTTCTGAGCTGTGAATCCTCCGAGCTGTTTTGTTCCATTGCACACCATCTATATTTGAAAGAACAAATAACAGTCAAAACTATAATAGATGCAAACTTTGGTTATTGGCATTGTCTGTGGGGGAGGGGAAGAGAGACTGTCACTTCAGGGAAAATAACTGGCAGTATTTTTTCTTTCCTTTATTTATTCTAATCAGTTACACATGACAGTAGAATGCACTTTGATACATCTTACATAGTTGGAGTATAATTTCTCATCCTTCTGGTTGTACATGATGTAGAATTAAAAAAAATAGCATTCAAGTGAAATTCTTCATTTAGATAACTTTAAGCTTTTAACATCCAATCATTTTTCCTGATGAGACTGTATTAATGAATGTTCTTTTATACTTGTTTGATATTATATACTGAAGTGTTTTGACACTTGGAAGAGCTAAATACCTCAGTGAATCAATATTACCAAGATATCACAAAATCACACATCAAAGTTAGTGATATATCACTTTAGACTCTATGTCATTAACCCAACCCTAAAGAAATTACCACCTGTCAAATCAAAAATTCAAAGAATGTCCACAATTACCTGGAAAATATGATTTAAAATGTGTTTAAATCACACAATGTGAATTGTATATAATTAAAATGTGATTTTTATCTGACCACAGAACTGTGCAATGCCACTTTTTTCCTATTCATAAAAACATATCTCAAAAATTTAAATGTGGAAACAGAAAAATATAGCTGTCTTCCAATAAACTAGTCATTAAAGAGTTAAATTTGTTCTTTTTATGTTTGCTTCAAAAATACATTATAGGTTGATCATTATTATTTCAAACAAAACTAACAAACATTTTAAAAGTTTCAGTTTTTATTTTTAACATAGTAAGTATTGATAGAGATCATCTACAAAGACCTTTGGGTTCACAATAATATTTTTAATGTGTCAAAAGAATATTACTTATAGTTCCCTGATCAAAGGTTGTTGAATACACAATCAGAATGACTTTCCTCCCCTCCTCCAACCCCATTCTCTTTTCTCTATTTTCTGCTATTATAATTTTTTTCTTAATTAATGCCTTGTGAATATACATAATGGCAAACTTCACTATGGTATATTCATATATGCACATAGGAAATTTAGGTCAAATTCATTCCACTGTTCTTCCTATCCCTTCCGCCTCCCCCTGAATCCTCTTCATCTAGTCTACCAATCTTTCTCTTATTTTAATGGAATTTCACCCCCTCCACACCTTTTGTGGACCTCCCCCACCCCGCGCCTTTATTTTGGACTAGCTTCCAAAACTGACTTTTGGGGGTCTTATTTCACTTAGCATAATATTCTCCAGTTCCATTCATTTACTAGCAAATGCCATTATTTCATTCTTTATGGCTGAGTAACACTCCATAGTGCATATATACCACATTTTACTTATTCATTCATTTGTTGAAGAGCACCTAGGTGGGTTCCGAAGCTGGGCTATTGTAAATTGTGCTGCTGAAAACATTTATATGGATGCCTCCCTACAGTATGCTGATTGTAGAGCTTTTGGATCTATTCTGAGGAGAGGTATAACTGGATCATATGGTGATTCCATTCCTAGTTTTTTGAGGAATCTCCATACTGCTTTCTGGAGTGGATGTACTAGTCTATAGTCCCACCAATAATATATGAGAGTATCTGATCCCCCAAATCCTGTTGTGTTCTTGATAACTGTCATCCTGACTGAAGTGAGATGAAATTTCAATGTAGTAGTTTTGATTTACATTTCCCTAATTGCTAGGTGTTGAATATTTTTTCATATATTTGTTGGCCATTTGTATTTCTTCTGGTTGTTTGTTTTGTTTTGTTTTTTGGTACCCAGAATTGAACTCAAGGGCACTCAGCCACATCCCCCTTTAAATATATATATATTTAAAGAACATAATCCTGTTTTTTTAATATTTATTTTTTTGTTTTAGGCGAACACAATATCTTTATTTATTTTTATGTGGTGCTGAGGATGGAACCCAGTGCCTCGTGCATGCCCGCTACCCCTTGAGCCACACCCCAGCCACCCCCAGCCCTATTTTGTATTTTATTCAGACAGCGTTTCACTGAGTTGCTTAGCACCTCGCTTTTGCTGAGGCTGGCTTTGAACTTGTGATCTTCCCACCTCAGCCTCCCCAGCCACTGGGATTACAGGTATGTGCTTCCATGCCCAGCTGTATTTCTTGTTTTGATAATCAAAATAATTTTTACAAGTACAAGGGTCCTAACACCAGAAAGCCTGAGAATACTTCTACAATCTCTCTTGAATGTCTCTCTTCCTTCTCATTCCATCATCCATTCTACTCATAATTTATTGAGGATATGGCCTATCTCAGGTCTATGTGAAGTTTGAGGGTCCAGAGGGAATGGAGCCATCCCTTCACCTTAGGAAGTGACAGGATAAGCAAAGTTTCAGTTCCTGGTTCTTATAGCAAAATACATTCTCCTAAATATTTCATTTTGATAATGTAGAGAACTCTTCAGCTCATACAACTTTACTAGGGCTGCCATAACAACCTGGCAGAGTGGTTAAAACAACAAGGATTTTTCCGCTTAAGCCTACACAGAGGCCTATATTTCTGTATTCCTTCTACTACCTCACAGGCTTGGATCAGAAACAACTACCTGACAAGAGATCTGGCCTGTATCATAGAGTAATTATTCTCTATAGCTGTCACAGGGTCCTGTTTACCCTTTGCACCAAGGGAATCCCAAAGATCACTTTCAAAACAGATGTCCAGATGCTGCTAAATGTCACCCGTCAAAGAAATCTTATACCCAGTATAGGCAGACATGTCCAGCAAGAGGCTGGCCATGAGGTTGAAAACCAAGACAGAAGCTTGATTTAGTTCCTTGAGTTCTCCTTGGGAGAGAGAGAGATGTTTCGTGAGGAAGGAGTGGGGCCATTAATGAGATAGGATAAGATATATTCAGGAATATCCTACTATTTCTCCCCTCCAAACTTGAGTTCCTTCCACTTGAGCTCTTTTGACATACCAGACATGTGGCCTCACAGAGAAAAGGTCTTGTGCAGACCCAAGAAGGTGGCCATTGGCAGGCTAAGGAGATAGACCTTAAGAGAAAGCAAACCTGCTGACACTTTGACCTTGGACTTCTAGCCTCCTGGACTTTTGAATAGAGCCTTCAGATATGGCCAAATCTCCACTTGCTTTTGTCCAGATTTCTAAAAGGCAGTTTTGCCTTCTCCATTCTGTCCTTTTTCTGTAGTCTTCTCTGATGCCCACTGCCCTGCACCACTGCCCAGCAGAATAACCCAATTTCCCCAAAGTGCTTACTTGTCTGGTATATAGTCTAGTGAATTAAACCAGGCACAAGGATAGAAAATCAGAGTTCAACCTGGTTGACAGTGGATAATGAATAGAAAAGGAACCTGAGCTTAAGATTTTGTTGAATAAAAAGGAAAGTCACTACTGGTGGGTGTTGACCTCCATGATTACAAGACTAGTATTTTTACCCATCGACTTGCTACCTCTAAACTAAGCATATTTTTATTTCATTTTCAATTATGATTTTAAAAGGTAAGAATCAAGTTTTTAATTTTTGTTTCCAGTGCTCAGCTAGATTATATGGTAGATGCAAATAGCACGGTTTAAAGACGAGCTCTCTAAATTAACTTTACACCAACTTGCTCATTCTTTTTATACCTGAGTGGGAAAATCTGATACCCCAGAAAATCAGGTGAAAAGCAAAATTCTAGTTGAACCTTGAATGGTGATTCATTTTTGAAATGTTATTAACTTTGCATCAAATCAGACAGGATATTTTTTTGTAAAAATGTAACTCCTCTGAACCAGGTTCTGGTAAATGAGAACAGACAGGGAGCTTGATGAATATGGTACATGTGGCCATTTGGGGCTCCTCCCTCCAAATTTCACAAATAGGGTTACAATGACCAAAGCAATAAAGATTATCTTTCCATGTAAGGCTGACTCCTTTCCCTTACTGCAGATTCCAGACTCTGCCCCGTGGGCTTCTCTTTATCAAATGCCCCTTTCCTGAGTTTTCATTCTTCTCAACTGATGTTTTCCTGTTTGTAACATACTCACATTCCCCCCACCCCACCGCCCCGCCCCGCCGCAAGCCCTAGGCCCTGTCCCTGTGTGGGTCCTGAGTCCTATGGCAGTTAAGGGCTCTCTATTCTCATTCATAGTTAAGAGTTCGCACTTCAGCAGAAGATATTGCTTGGGTCCCCCTTTCCCCCTGTACCCCATGGAAGCTGCCACTACTAAAGACAAAAGCAACCTCTTGCTTACTAAATTCCACTCTTCAGAGAGGCAAGAACAGTGGTAACAAGCACAGACTCAGGCCAGACCACCTGGATTTAAGTCCCCACTAGGCCTCTTATCAGCTGTATGGTTCTTGCTTAAATCACTAAACCTCCCTGAATCTCATTTTCCTTTACTGTAAAATGGGGCTATTTTATTAAATCTCATAAACTGCTTGATACTTAAAGATTTAATAGAGCGCTTATAACAGTGTTTGGAACATAGTTCATATCATGTGAACATTATCCAGGTCTTTCATGTTTAATCTCATCTAATATCTCTGCAATAGTTGACACTGCTGACAATACCTTCTTAAATGAAACGCTCCTCCCTTAATAATGACCTATCTTTGTGTGTTTTCCTCATTTGCTTGCTGCTTATTCTTTTTTTTTTTTAATCAAAATGTAAAATGTCATCATTGTCTTTATTTTTTGGACACATGTTTATTAAACAAACCAGTTTTACATATGCAACTGTAAAATCTAAAGAAACAGAATAAATTTTTAAAAAAATATTTATTTCTTAGGTGTAGATGGACTCAACACAATGCTTTATTTTTATGTGGTGCTGAGGATTGAACCCGGGTCCCACCAGTGCTAGGCAAGCACTCTGCCGCTGAGCCACAATCCCAGCCCCTAAATTTTTAATAAATTCCTCATTAATGTAGTTCACTTTCAAAGAAATGTTTAATTGGCAGAGTAGAACAATGTGTTTCCACATGCTGATTGATCAGTGCAACACTGACAGTTACAGTTAACATAGTCAAGAAGCTGAAAATTGAGATTTATGGAAGACAAACTTAATTCCATCTGTTAAAAAAAGGGGGGGAATAATTTAAACTTGTAAATCACACACTTTTCATACAAAAACAACTAATTTTAATCCCTATTTTCATCTTAAATGACCACTGAAGAATTAAACAATTTCGGGAAAAATAAGTAAAAATAAAAAAACTAGTAGTATGCATTTAAAAACTGCTAATAGGATAAATAAAACCAAATACTAACTATTTTTCACTATACCATGAATATTGGCACTGTTTATTTCATATGCATGTCAGTTTCAAAGCTTAAAAATCCTAATAAAATTAAATGGTTTGATCAGTCCAGTTTTCTTCAACAAAGGAATCCCTTACTTCTAATTTAAAATTATAGATTTTAAAACCCGAATTATTGCCTTTGAATTTTCATACAAACAAAATACAAATGTATTTCTTTTATGTTGGTGGTATTATCAAAGGCAAGAAATCCTGTTAATGTTGTCCTTAAAAGTACAGAATTAAAATCGTGATAGAATCCATCTAGTGAACCCATAAGTGTGTGTTTTGATTTCACATCTTTTTCTCATAAAAACTGAGAATTCATAAGACACATCATGTGGATATTTTGGGGTTAGAAAACCCATGGCTCTGGGCATTTTAAATAATTCCTGAGTTTCTTCACTCAGGAATTGCATACATTTTTACCTTCCCTCATAATAAAACACTGATGATACCCTGGCAGCAAAACTTACTAAATTATCTTTAAAAGTATAAAAGCAACATTATTTTCAATTGTCTGAATAGAATTATAATAAATGTTTCAACTTTCACAACCCAGGCTTTTTTCTACCTAGTTTCAGACACCTCATGGTTCTCACTCCTTTTTTCACTTTTTTCGCACCAGAATTTGAGGTCATCCACCTGGAAAGTGAGAAAGAAAAAAAGAAAAAAAAAAAGGAAATATGTTTCCTGTTTCTGGGCCACAGTGAGAAGGTTAGTCATTTGTCCATTAGCAACACTTCTTTCCATCTCCTGCTTGTGCACTTTTTCTGTTCTTTCTGCAACATTCCTTCAGGTATAGAAAGTCTTCGCTGCATATTTTCTGGAGTCAGCAATGCCCCCAACTTGTCAAACAGCTTTTTCCAACCCTTTGCCCAAAGATTTTACTGAAGGCTCATATTAGTAAATAAGATTTTCTGGAAGCACCTCTGGAATTCCAACTTGTAAGCCAAAACTGGTTGCTTCCACAATCGCCAGGCAGTGCTTCTATAGGGGACGTATAAAGAAAAACATGTCCTTGGACCCAGCCATTTCCAACATCTAAGCTCCCAAACACAGACTCTGTCATGTAGCTAGTGTCTTTCTTGTACTTCTTCCAAAATGATTCTCTTGGGTCCCTCTCCTCCAATGATGAAAATTTAAATCTGGATATTTCTGGATAATTTAGGGATACCACTAAGAAAATTAGTCTCCTCTACAGGCCACACTGAGATGATTAAAGATCAGTTTCTACAGCAACCCAGTTAAGATGTGTCCTGTTACCACTGAGTTCCATGGCTATTTGTCCTTATTCTCTATCCCTAGCTCCACACTTACAGAAAAACAAACAACAACAACAAAAACACTTCTTAAAGATGTTTAACCTCAGGGATAGCTGAGCTAGTTCCATACTTGAAATTCCAGGAAAGGTTTTCATTTCCCATAAAGCCCACCAATTGGGATCTTATTCTAATATCTCTGGGACTTATTTCCTGTCTCCTATGCAGTCTCACGTTCAGTTAACTCCTAGTTTATATTCATTTACCTTACCTTCTCTTCCAGTCTTTTCTGATCTATGTTCCCAGACTGCCCTATGCAACTTCTACCTCACGCTATTTTTTATCTGTTCGTTTTAGTTAACGTGACAGTAGTATGTATTTTGACATTTCATATCTACACGGAGTATAAATTCCCATTTTTGCCTCATATTGTTTTTGACATCTAAGGTCTCTATACTAGGTTGTGAGTCTTAAAGAAATGGAACTGAGTCTTACTTGCTTTTAAATTCCTAATATCCAACATAGTATCAGGTGCTTAATAAGTGGTAAATGAATAAAATGAGTGTTGCTTCAGCCAATGTCTCTTTAAAGAAAAGGTTGAAGAGTTCAACAATTATTCAGACCACCTTATGTGTAATGCAAGCTCAGAATCCAGTTTAATTTTATTCCAGGTCTTCTCTACAATACACTCTACTATTGAAGTAATCATAATTACTAAGGATCCCAAGCACAGGACCTACCATCAGTTTCAATTTCAGCTTCACCAGTAACCAAATATGTGAACTTGGGAAGTTAATCTCTCTGGGTACCATCTTACTTCTAAGAATGTAATACACATTTCTTTTTATTATGACTGAATGATAATGCATGAAAATAGTATTTGGTACCACAACATACACTCAAAAAAAAAAAAAGTTACTAAACAACATTACTAAAATACTGAGATGACCCTAGGTGGAATATTTTCTCCTTACTTATAAGTTTCCATTTAAAACCAAATGAAAATAAGAAAGCTGAAAATATCCCCAAAACCAAAGGCGAATGTTTCCTCTAATATGCAGATACTAATTCGTGGGTGGGGGGGGAGACACTAGAGAAGACTAGGGTTACCTTAGATTAGGTAGAGGAAGTGAAGGGAGGTCAGGGCAGGGGATGTGGAGGATAGGAAGGACAATAGAATGAAACAGACATTATTACTGTATTATATACGTGACTGCATGACCAAAATGATAAGGTAGGAAGGGAGGGAGGGAAAGGAAGGAAGGGAGGGAGGGAGGGAGGGAAAGGAAGGAAGGGAGGGAGGGAAAGG